GGGGGGGGGGGGGGGGGGGGCGGGGGGGGGGGGGGGGGGGGGGGGGGGGGGGGGGGGTGGGGGCGGGGGGGGGGGGGGGGGGGGGGGGGGGGGGGGGGGGGGGGGGGGGGAGTGACTATTACTTAATATAACAATTGGTATTTTTGATAGAACGTGCTAGTGCTCAAACCGGATCAGATAATCGTAAATGTGTCAGAGAACGAACCGTTTGTACTCTATTACAGATTACAAGCACTCAAGCGTGTTCTACCCAAAGTTATAATCAAGGGTATACAGACGGTGACGAGAGCAGTTATCAGTGAGATGGCGGGAGACAAGAAGCAGTTGCTTGTCGAGGGATACGGGCTGCAAGAAGTGATGACTACTGAAGGTGGGTTTGTATTGGGCTGACCACGACAGGCCACAATGAACAGTCACTGATTACAAAAATCGTTTATTCTCAGGCATTGTCGGTACCCAAACAACGTGTAATAATGTAATTGAAGTTCGCAAAGTGCTTGGAATAGAAGCTGCAAGGTGAGCAACACATGTGAAGCAAGAATAGACATAACGAGCATTATAATCACAATCTATTTTTATTTTAGAAATACTATTATCCACGAAATTCAATATACTATGAGTAGTCACGGTATGAGCATCGATCCGAGACACGTAATGCTGCTCGGGGATATCATGACCTACAAAGTGGGTGTACTTGTCATCAGTCCCATGTTATATATACTCTTGTGCTAACCATCTTTTACCCCAAAAGGGTGATGTGCTCGGAATTCACAGGTTCGGCGTGGCTAACATGAAAGACAGTGTTCTTATGTTGGCCTCATTTGAGAAGACGACAGATCATCTTTTTGAGGCTGCATTATATAGCCAAAGAGACTCGATCGAAGGTGTCAGTGAGTCGATTATTATGGGTATGCCAATGCCTTTGGGTACTGGATTATTCAAATTAATCAGGAAATCGGGTAGGGAGGAGCGCCCTGTGAGAAGGAAGCTGTTGTTTGACGATCCCGAGAGACATGTACCGCTTGTTTTGTAATATTAATTTATTAAAGTTATCCCGAGTTAGTTTTATGGGTGATTAATATGACTCCCTCTTGCGCCCGTATATATTCGAATGTACAGTATATGAATAAAAAAAGTTAATTATAGATCATTATGCTGTTACTAATTGCAGCGCTGCTTTTGGTATTTAATGGACGAGGTTAATGTATTCTCAAGCTTTGAATTATTGCAATGTTTAATGTTTTCTTTCATTTCGCAAACCTTCATACGTAAGAGTCGGTTGCATGCATCACAACGATTATTTGTATAGCAAAACTTTAATTGCAACTACGATATAACTAGTCCCGTCATTTTTCGTTTTCCAAGTAGTAATAACGAATACCAATACAGTAAAGTCTCACTTATCACGTTAATATTAATCTGTTGCGTTGCTATCTTTTTAATTCGCGTCCAATCCACGCCATTAGGATTCCAAGCATCGGGATAACTCTCTTTTCAAATAGTGCTTGGTTGTTATCCTACGAAGTTGATAGATAGAAATAAATGAGCGTTTTTTATATACAGTTTTTTTACTGTTTCTTCCGTTACAGAGTAAGAATGGCTTCTGGAGGTTTCCTCCAGCTGTGCTAAACTGATTGGAAGAAAATGTTATCGCTTTGTTGATTTCGGCTCAAGCTCGACATTATATCTCGACGATGATGGTTCTTTTCAAGGTAAACAATTAATTATTGCTTTCTACGAATTGGATCCTATTATGTAAAAAGGGGTTTAGGGTATGGTTCAATTACTAAGATTAAATCTAAGAGAGCCCTCAAATTAGTTATTAATCATCGAGAGGGAATTCGTAAAATTCTTAAATTAATGATAATGTCTATGAACAGTATTAGTCTTATTAATATGTTTGGTGCACAAGCGAATTAATTTCAGTTTTCAATGATGCTATTACTATTAACCATTAATATTCGTTCTGAGCTCACTTTTGTCTGCAAGCACACGCCCATATCATATCTCAAGAACCTGCTTGGCGTTTTGGCACATGACGTTGAGCTACAGCTTTACGCCTAACTGTTTAACGTTAAAATCCTGAAATCTAAATTTAGCACTTCTAAGAGGATTAACGTCCCCTGAGTGAAAGCGGCACTTTGTGTGATAGTTCTAAAATTGTACTAACCCGTTTTGTATTACTTTGTTTGTTTGATAACGATAGTAATAGTAAGGGTAAATAGCAAATGCATATCGACTGCTACGGAGCACAAGGTTCAATCAAGGGTCTCAAAATGAATAAATTGATTGGTTAACTCATAATTTCTTTAACAAGAAAGAGACTGACTATGGGTCAAAAGACGATCAACTTTTATAGGCAGAACGGGGAATATGGCATATTCAGTAATTTCTATGGGGCACCAATTGAGATTGATGGAGAGCTTTGGCCCACATCAGAACATTACTTTCAAGGTTTGACATTGACAACGTTCAATCATCAATGATGTGATATCAAAGAATAATCAGTAATTTATGTTAATATAAGCTCAGAAATTCCCAATACGCCCTGAACTTCAACAAAAGATACGCAATCTTTCCACACCATCGGAAGCTGCCAAAGCCGGTCGACGACGAGATTATCCTCTCCGTGAAGATTGGGAATCAGTTAAAGAAGATGTCATGATGAGAGCATTAATTGCAAAGTTTACGCAGCACGAAGACTTAAAAAGACAAATTTTGGACACCGGCGATGCCAAACTAGTGGAACATACGGCTAGAGATCGGTACTGGGGAGATGGAGGTGGAGAGGGAAAGGGAAGGAATAGACTTGGCGTATTGTTAATGAGAGTAAGAGATCAATTAAGGAAAGAAGAGGTTGAGGCAGAGGAGACCGTATGCGATGAAACAAAAATCGATGAAACAAAAATCGATGAAACAAAAATCGATGAAACAAAAATCGATGAGAATAAAGTCTCTGATAGTACTTAGTATCATGTGTAATTGTCATCAACTGTGAATGTCTCAGAGATCCCGTTGTGAAAGGTAAATTTTCAGATGTAAAAAATTCTTTCCCTTACGAGTCAAGGGTTGAGGGATATGAACGACTGCTGGAATTATTAGGCACATATGTGTTCAAACACAGATTTCTATGCTGCGAAGAACACTGGGTATTTCATATCTGACCATGCGAATCGGAAACATGTATAAACAAAGTTAAGAAAGTGACCAAGTTTATTCTAAATACAGTTTGAACAATATCTCTATTTAGCACGTTTCGTTTAATCACCACACGATTTACTGCTAATCTCTTATTTTACAAGTATTGTACAATCTGGGTTTAAGTTTTTAAAAAAAGAAAAGAAAATATTCTATGATATTAATTGTCTAAATAGCTGAAACAGTACCAAAGAGAACACTCCAAGACAGTTAAACAAGAAATATCTAAACCGAGGTCGAACATATCGTCGGCCATTGACAACGATTAAGCACGCATTCTCCGCCAGACATAAGAATGATGACACTTTCTAAAAAATTTCGTACGCGTGTCTTTTCATTGCCGTTCTTCGTGACTTGTTGTATGATCGCGAATCCAACTTTGACCTCCAAAGCAAAAAGTAACACAACCCTAGTCGTTGATAACGAAACACATGCGCCACTTGCGCAAGCTTTTTTGCTCTCAACTTTTTAGTACGAGAACGCCAGACAGAGAAAAACTTGCGTGTAGTAGAACTTTCATAAATGTAAGCAGCACGTGTTTTTTGGGCTGGGTTTTCGATGAAGCAAATTTAGATACATAAATCGCCACGTTAAAAGACAGTATTACATGTCTCACCTTCTTCCTTCTGATAACGCCATTTCCATGTAGAAAATGCTTCAGAAATGGTTTTTTTGTCAGGATCTCTGCTGCCAACTGCCCAATCATACCACATCGTAAAAGCCTAATTCGAATATCCTGATTCGTTAAAAATACGTTACATCATCACCCACCCCTAAAATATCTACCAGCCGTACCTGTCTTAAAACAGATTCTTCATAGCTTTGAATGACTTTTGCTTCAGCCCTCTTCCTCCAAACATAAAAGTAGGCGCGCAGAAGAAATATTTTCTGCGCTTTTCCATGTTTCCGGATTATTCTCTCGCTGTTCGCTCTCGTAAAGGGTCTTAATGATTCCAAGTAATTGATTTCTTGATTGACTTGACATCGATCTCTCCAATGTTTGAATGCACGTGAAAGAACTTTCGTAATATAGTAAGTGCTCGCTTCCCTCTGCATTCTCATGTTATGATAACGCTGGCGCCAAATAATCAAACAAGTATTGACTAGGCGGAAGTCGTAAATAGCAATCGCATTTTCTGATGTAGAATAGTGTTTGGGAAGTTCCGATAATATATTCGAAAGTACAAGACTGGTGTTCGGTCGTAGGCTTCTATCCCCAAAACGATATGCTAGTTTATATGGATAACATAATCAGGAATCGTGTAAAGAATGTTTATAGAATATATATCATGTTGTATAAGGAGAATCTCATACCATCGTGCGTCTTTTTCCGTTTTTTTCGACGTGTTCTCATTATAAAGTCGGAAACTGTCTTCATTTTAGTATTATCCAAGTCATGACCTTTCCACTTACTTTTCAGCCGATCCCAATTGTGATTTAAGAGTTTCTGCGTATAATACAAGACAGCATTATCGCTTTCACGTTGTTGTCGTCCTAGTGCAAGACGCCACTTTGTGAGATTGTTTCGAAGCGAATTCCTGTGAAAGGCTTCGACGGCACAGTGCGAATTTTTTCTGATATAATCTAGTTTGGTCTTCCAGAGCGTCCAGCGCGATTTTAATAGATGAGCATTGTACACGTTAGTGGCAATCGTACCAGCTTTCTGCTTTCCGGCAAGTAATGCCCGCCATTTGCCAAGACACCTCCATAATACTGCCTTGTTTATTACTGAATCTGCACGCTCGGCCATAACTTTTTGCTCTTGAAGGCGCTGCCTCCAACACAGCATAGACCATTGTTGCATCTGTTGCTTATGATGCTCGAGTGCTTTTAGTCTTTGCCGACGAAGAGCATATAAAGAATGAGACCACTTGATAACTGCTTTGCGTGTCAAAGTTTTCTCATAATTTATTATCACATTTTGATAAGTTAATTGCTGCAAATGAAATCTCCTGGACCACTTGAAGAAGGCACGATGAGTTATTTTGCAAGGCTGCTGTGCGAGATATTGTGAGCATCTTGTTGAAAGATGCCGGATTTTTAAATAGACCTGTGGAAATCGATTAAACGCCTTCTTCAATAGGTTTCGTTCGTGGTGTAATTTAGCAGTCCCTCGACATCTACGGATGTGTGCGAGTCTATTTTTCCATAGTGCGAAATACTTTCTACCAATAGATAGTTGTTTAGCAGGTGCTCGATATAGATCGTTGTCTTTCCGTGCATTCATCAACTTACGCCATCGTTGCCTCCCCCAAAAGTGATGTGCCGCTCACCGCAGTATCTGTTACTTCGGATTGTACCCGATTAACGGCTTTCTCGTCACGAGCGTGTTTTCTGTGTACTGCCCATGACAACCACTCTAACCGAATAAATGTATTTCATATGAGAACGAATGTAAACAGTAGTAGCTAAAAGTCATCATCGAACACACACCTGCTAGTACGCTAGTAGCAAATGGCTTGTCGACGGACTTTGTTTTCAATATCTGAATGGTTCTAAATAAGAAATAGAATGATAAGATCTAGAAGCGAAATCAACATAGACATGTGTATAAGTCACGTGCCTGGAATACCATTCCAGATAATATTTATGTAAAATAACTTCGTCTGCTCTTTGTTCCATCGACTTTTTCTGCTGGTATAGACGCCTCCAGTGATAAAATGCCATTTTCAACAATTTAGTGTTGTATTCATCCTATGAAGCGCCGTGGCCAAATTAGTCATGAAGAATTGGGCACTATTTACTCCAGCATGGTTGTACTAACCTCAACCATCTCACCGAGCGAGGAATAGGTGTTGTATCTGACCCTCCATTTCTCGAATAGTTTCTGAAGCGAATTCTCCTCAGCTTCGTCGTCCCACGTACGAGGATCTTCATTGGCATCGATACCACGATACCTGATCTCGGCTTGTTTCGATTTTCGCTGAAGAGACGAGCAATTACCAATTGGGTATATCCAATAACCGAACAATTATCTTGTGGGCAGCCGAAAAAATACCAGTTCTAGTGCATAAACTTCTCGCCATTTCTTGAGAAATCTTTTTAGGGTTTTCTCTCTGTCAAATTCGACGGCCTGCTGCCATTGTAGTATCAGACGAACTCGCTTCTGTCGGATGTACCTGGTAAACCTGTTGCGTCATCATACCCGGTGCATAAGTATGTGCCGATTACATCCAACTAATGACGTGCTTGTCTACAACATTCGATCATCAATATTCAATATCATTACCTTCGCCAAGCTATAAAATATATTCGGATATTTTCCTTGTCGATGTCCAACGATGCCATCTAGACACAATTGCTTACTGTGACGTAAACTCATCCCTATATTAAAAAGTCATCTCAACAGTAACACAGCATATAATGTAAACTCTGTTTGAAAACTGGGGTTTGTCTCGTGATGTCGTAGACCAGGAGGTAATTAGTTTTGGGACGTTTCAACGGAAATTAGAAGTAGTGTTTGATAGCGCGGGTAACGTTTCACTTATCGCTTGTTTGTTACACTCTCACGGCTCATAATTTCCATAGCACAATATCCGATTATAATCCGTAACGCATTAAAGATAAGATGAGTGTCTCGGCCCACTTATTTGTCACAGAAAGGACGCCGTTTCGTCATATGGTTAGTTTCACGATCTATTTTTAGGTCACAAATAATGCCATACAAAATCATACATACTATAATGGGAAGATTATAACATATAAATAGTGTCACCATTCTGCAAATCCCAATTTTCAACGGATAAATTTTCATAAGTCCTTCTATTCTTAAATAAGACTTCAAAAAATGAATACTATAAGACGAATACTTGCTCCAAACAAATCCTCAAAAGATAGTAAGAAAAAGTCCATATTTCAGCGCTCAAAGTCTAGTAGCGAACTTTTCAGCGAAAGACCAAATAAATCTCCATTATCTGAAAGAGAAACCAACACAAGGTCATTTAGCCAACGATCGCTAGAATTACCTTTAAGAAAAATAGGCATGCTACGCGATAAAGCACAATACAATACGGAAAATGGGACCACAATTAAACGTGAATTCAAAACTTTACCGAGAAATCTTCAACAAACGTTGCCTGTTCCAGCGTCAGGTACGCGAATGGTGGGCATTGGGGCATTGGCACTGAATACGGGGAATATAGTCCCAGCTATAGGACTGGGAGCTGGAAAGGCATCAGACGACTTGTCTATACCGCAATCACCTACTACCTGTCTTAATGAGGCGGATGACTACATTCAGCAAGCAATACAATTCCACGAACAGAATCAATTGGACAAAGCCACTTATTTCTTTAAGCTTGCAGCTGAGAGGAAAAGTCCGCTAGGATATTTCTTGTACGGTATTGCATTGAGACACGGGTGGGGATGTGAAGCCAATCCTACCATGGCGGTGAAGTATCTCCAGAAAGCAGCTGAATCAGCTGTTGATGAATTACAATCGTCAGTCATTGCCAATCCAAGCATTGCACGGAACGAGCTAGTATTAGCAATATACGAACTTGGAGTTTGTTTCCGTCATGGGTGGGGCGCCCCAAAGAACAAAAAGACGGCTGCATATTATTTCGAGATGGCCGCAAGTCTTGGCGACCCGGATGCCCAAAATGAAATAGGATTTTGTTATGCTAATGGCGAGGGCGTTAAGAAGGTAAATAATTTTGAATTTAATTCGTAACTTTGGTACAGATGCAATTGGTTGGGCTCTTTATTGCCAACATAGAATAATTAAGATAATCGTCGGTATACATAAGACTTTGTAAAAAGAGGAATTGATGTCCGCGGAAAAAAAGGCATGGCCATTTTTGGCTTAACCAATAGTCAAACTCAAACTAAAAATGGTATTGGGAAAGTAAGGGATTCCGGTTAAAGAATATGAAAAAGGTTAGGGCAACTGGATATTGCCAGTACTCCTATGTATACCGACGATCATCTCTTGTGGGATTTTTAATGGCTGGACTTTAATTGGTAACTTTGATCACGACTGACACTTTGTAATTTCTTTGTTATTAAAAGAACTTGACAAAAGCGGCCAAGTATTATCGTATGGCAAATGAACAAGGTGCAGGTATTATGGGCAATTCATGGATATTTAAAAAGAAATACGATGAAGAAGCACCAAAGAATTAAGTTCTTGCCTATCCCGTCTCCCTTCTCCGTTTATTTATTATTATTTATTATTCGTAATTGTAAATAGTATTTAACTCTTATAGACATTATTTAAGGTTGCAATCTAAAACCGTTTACATTCACACGTATCTGTATTTTATCACTGTATTGATGACTTGGCATTATAAATTTCATTAGTATAAGATTGGTATTGGATCATGTATACGATGAGCAAAATTTTCAATAACAATATGATGACATTGAATTTTAGATCAAAGTCAGTTGCTAATTATTGATTGCAATACCGCACTGTTAATAGTTTGTGAATCGAATACATCATGATTAAAGTTCTAATCTAAAATAGAGAGCAAGTGTATACAGAACACGCAGAGACCCCGAATCCAAAAGAATAAAATAATTGAAACAAAACTTGTCTGAATCGCTTATGTGACAAGAAACAAGAAATGACAACTAATTACCGACGCTAATTAACAACCTGCGGACAAATCCTCGAATATTAAATCATCTATTACCACATTCACTTTTACTAGTGTACTCGTCTAAGATACTACTGCCTCCAGCGATGGTGCGGCCTTCATACCATACCACCAGCGGAGAAATCTCACAAGTAGTTCCGCTACTTGCAGACGAATACTCATATATAGTCTATCTTTAACAAATCCCCAACTTCTCCAAACGTTCGGAGCGTCAGAAAACAGATACCATCTTCGTACAGGACCGATCATCGCTTCGTCTCCACTTAATCCACGCGCCTTCGCCTTTTGTATACGCCGTTTTTCTTCCTCTCGAGTTTCGCACCAGAACCCGCGCGTCGCATAACGAGCATTAATCTTAAACGATTCGATAGAGTTACCACCCAATTCTCTATGAATTCCGCGCAGCAGATTGATCGTACGAAATACAAGTAACATATCACGCGGAAGAGATTCAAGAAAACTCAAAAAATCATTAAGTGTCACACTCTTGAGCTGATCGTGTACCATGGCTCGTTCCTCGGCCGGCATGTCTTCCCCAAGTGGTGTCATCGAGTCGGGTAACCGTTGAGTGAATATTAACGGAAGAAACTGCACATACTCTGATACACCCAAGAATGCTGCCGCTTCCTTAAGTCCTTTATTGTCATTCAAGAGCAATGCTCTCCATAGCCCACAATATACTTTTCGAAATTCATCTGATAACTCTCGATAAAGCCCATGATCAAGAAGAACCAGTTGCGGTTTCTTCGTTGTTGGAGACAGAGCAACAAGTGCATTCCCGGGATGTGGATCACAGTGGACTATTCCGTGACAAAATATCATCTCGGCGAATATCTCTAGCAAGTAATTGCGCACCCAGACTGGATCAGCGCCTAGTGATCGTAAACCTTCGACATCGTTAATTTTAACGCCGTGAATAAATTCCATCGACAAAACGCGTTTCGTCGTCAGATCCCAATAGATCTGAGGCACATTAAACTTGTCTCCGTGATGCCTGAATCTCAATTTAGTTGTTTCTCCATTTCGAGCTTCATTTTCAAAATCAAACTCTGTTATTAGATTTTGTTTGAACTCGACTACTATCCATCCCAGTTCGAATTCAGGAAAGAAATACGAGATCACATCTGACATGGTTTGCATAGTCCACACGTCCACGTTAAACAGCCGAGACACATCCGGATATTGTACTTTGACAGCTGCTTCTCTTCCGTCTTTTGTTGTAGCTATAATACAAGATAAATTAAATTAGAAAAATGTAAAGCATAAAGAATAACAAAAAAGAAAACCAAAAAACAACGATTATGTTGATAGTGAAATAGAGGATAAATGATATAACCTCCCCCTTCTTCACTTGATCAGGATTATCACCTCTATGCACTTGTGCCAAAGAAGCAGCCGCGATAGGCGTCTCTTCGAATTCAGAAAACAGATCACTCGGAACAGCTCCGTCAAATTCTTCTTTAAACACCTTTTCTACGTCTTCCATACTTCTATATGGGGCCCTGTCTTGCAGCACGGCTAGGGTTTCTGTGAATTCTCGTGGTATTATGTACGTCAAAGATGCAAGATGTTGACCAGCTACCAACAAAAAAAAGAGGTTGTTGTTTTTTTCGTTCAGAACCAAAGCTAACGGATAAATTACAATTATTGTGATCGGAGCCCTTGAGTCATACCCTTGATATAAACACCAGTATTTATTTTACACAATCGCAGTAAACGCCTTGCAACTCGAAGGTGTACGACTTTCTGTGCTGCCTTATATTCATCTGTTTTATATCCTTTACCACGATATCGAATGTGTAATAATTTATAGTCTAGCATACAGAAAAAACTGATAATGAAGAAATTGAGAAACATCGTTTATTGTAATTAGCGAAACTGGCATCAAGAGATGAAAATAACAGTAAGATTCTATTAAGGGTTATATTGGAACGGAATGATTTAAGAAAAAGGATTTTGGAACTTCATACCAAGTCAATATAGTAACACTAGATCGAAACAACCCTGCACATGTTATGTAACACTTTTCACGAAACTCTTTATTCCAAGCTAATAACACTATGACTGTCCCAGTAGATATGCCCAAGACCCCTAGCGTAATGGTTCGAATATGTCTAGTCACTTTTCCAAGTCCATCGTATCTATGATTGCGGCCGTTCAATCCATAAACGCGTTGTGGGATTTTTTGTAGAAAGTCGGAAGTTAAAATAATCTGGCGAGGAGAACTGAGCGGCCGACAAAAACTAGACGATGTGTTATTGGGTAAAAAAACACGTGTACGGCTAGAGATCGTTTTTAGAGGGAATAAATGACGAGTGCATCTTACTCTGCTCGGAACGAAAAGAGTAAATCGAGATAACATCGCTCAAGTCTCCCCGCAATAGAAAAAAAAACCACTGAATATGGTTTGTTTGTGTAACATATAAGGTTGTCACTATCACGTGTTAATTATTTACAATATGGAGATTGCTTACAAACAAAGTACCGGTATTAGTATACATTTTTTAAAAAAGTCATGTGGACGTTGTAGACAACGTTAATGTTGTGTGGTTGGGGTCCCTCCTACCTTTGGTCATTTCAATGTGAATTTCTTTTTCAACACATATGCGACATCACATGTTCACTTTGGCCATATGTAGGCACATTTTAATTGCGAATATTGTTATAAACACAAACGCTTTTGTTATCTTGTGGACCAATCAGCAGTTAGCCAGCTTCTTTAGTTAATTCAGTAAATCGCTCACTCCATTCATGCGTCAATTTCGAAATGACAGTTCTCAAATGACGGGAGACGGGTTCCGCGCCCCCACAAAGCCGCAAGGCCCGGCATCCTCCAAAAACCGAATAATCATCAAAGTAAACGTCATAGTCATATCCAAGGGCATTTCTTGTCGCCGTTGGCTGCAAAAAAAAAACGCCATGCCTTTTCCATCTATATTAAGAAATAAGCATGGGCGCATGTCTGAGAATAAAACTAGCAAAATTGTATTGTCTTAATTAAGATTTCGGGTCTGACATGATGTCAGCATACTGCCAAACGTATACAACAATTGTATTAATAAAACAAGTTATTTTGCAAATCTGTTTAATTTCCAAATTTGAACAACAGAATGACGGTTTTTATTTAGTTTGTTTATTAATCTATTGTTGTTCTATATTTATTTCTACAATGATGCGAATACTCCATTTTTGACATCACAAGTATTTTTATTATTATACATGATGCACTACCGTATTCGGTGGAAATCAGTTAACATGCATTCTGTTTGCACGGCATACGTTCAATAATGCAGAAATCACAACACTCGTACTAACAAGATGAAATCAACAGATTTAGTTATTGCAATAATACACATTTCCTTCTCAATCAGTTTGTAAGTTTATTAGACTATGGCTTTTCAAATTTTTCTCTTGTTTTTCTTTTTTTTTTTTCTTTTTACAAAAAAATAACGATCATAGACTAGTCATAATACACATGTGATTCTCGAGCCTAGCAACCAAAAGGCGAGAGATAAAAAATAAAGCCAATGTTTCCACACGATAGATAAGCATCCAATTAATCGAGTGCGGAAAAGAAGGAAGAATTAAAAACGGATATAAGAATACATTGTGTTACAATTCGAGAATAAAGTAAAAGAGAAAAGGGGGAAAGGTTTTGTTATTTTACATTAAATGCTCCAACCAACGGAAATACTTTTTTTGTATTCAAGTGTTGAAATTTAAAGGAGTGACTAATTCTTTGTAGTAAAAATTGAGAATTCTAAAAAGAAATCAGAAAAACGGAAAGGACCGGCGAGGACACGAAAAGCTGTCTATTTAACATATCCAATTACTAAAACGTAAAAATTAAGATAAAATTATATATAGTAAAAGCAATATACTCTATCTATATCAATGCATAAAGAACGCCTCCATCTATGGCAACTTCTGCAATACTATTTCGGATGTCTGGCGATGGCTTTCTTTGCACCGGTGATGACGGACGATATTCGTCTGCTTTCTTCGCCTGGACATTTGCAATTATTGCGGCCGCATTCGAGGGCATCGGATCGTTGGTCGTAAAGTCATAAACACTAAAACTGAAACGACTTATTCGCGAATCACTATTCGCCCCGTTTTCATCATCTTCATATAATCGCAGGGGACGAATATCAGTATTGCTGTCCTTTGAATTGGTAATATTCTCGTGTTTTGGTTCCTCATAGTGTTCGAGGTTACCATCGCCATTGATGCCATCTTCAGGTATTGCCGAAACCATTGAATTCGCTAACGAAACGCTCCGAGATGACTCTGTCTCGTCGAACTCTATTTTCTCATGAACAGTTGCAAACGATACTCGGCCTGATGATCGTTTCTTCTTCTTTGATAGTTTTTTCTTTTCTTCACTACTAATCGACGAGTCTCCCACGACTTCTGCTCCGTTAAATGGCTCCCTGGCATAAGAGTCTAACACATCACTTTCTCTTATGGTTTGTAAGCGATCGTAAGATAACGTTCTTTCGTGGTAAATGTGATCTTGTTCTGACGCGTCGTCTGACGGTTCACTTGTGCTATTCCTGGGTGGGAACTGGAAAGGTTCGTTGTCCCTACGTTGTCCGTCGTATGAGGCAACAATTTCTTTATGATCTAGAGAACCACCATCGTTACTGTGTCGAGTACTTTCTATTGTGTCACTACCGTTAATAATTTTAGCAAATTCGGGGTCTATCGGAGAGACATCCTGAAATGTAAATGTGATAATTTTCATATTAATAAAAAACCATTTTTCATGCAATTAATTCACCTGGGTAAAACTTACCATTTCGTCATGCTGCACTGAGAGGTTATTCAACTCTTTATCATACGACAATGGTGATGATGGAAGTGTGGGAGAACCAATAGCGTGTACGACATCACTAGCAGCAGTAGACGGTTTCTTTGAATGGTTACTAGAAAGCTCGTAATCTGGTTCGTCGGCATCGGGACTGAAAACTTGTGACAACGAGGAACGCGAACGATGGAACGGTCGCTGTGAACCATAAGATCGTGTTGAAGACACAGAATTACGTAATGGCGGTTTAGGGAACATGTGATGAGCCAAATCAGCAGCCGTCAATGAAACTGACGACGTTCTTCTGTGACCCTTCTTAGAGTGTGAAGAGTCTGAACTACGGTTGGAAGTCACGGGCTTGGGAGAAGGGCTGGGAGGATTATATGGTACATATGGTGGTGTGGGCATTGATAATGGGTTAGGTGATGATGCTTCAGTGTTTTCTGGAGTATAATACTGTGAATCCGAACCAATACTTGGCATTGGAGGTAACGAGTCAGGCTTTGGAACGGTAGCTGGCATGACAGTTGGCATCGGAGGTAAAGAGTTGGACATTTCTTGGGCGTGCATGATCATCTGTTTCTCCGATTCGACGGACGTTGTTGATGGACGCCGCATTGAATCTGCATAAGGCTGCGGATCTTTAAATTCCATGTTATTATCTGTCATGACAGTAACTGGTTCATCCGAGTGCCCCGCGTACCAACCGGCATTCTCATTTAGTGACAAGTCTGAAAGGCTCTCGTTGAGTTGACCGCCAGGGCGAATGTATGGATCGTTGTTTACAGCACGATCGAATGATGCAGTCTTTCGTAACCTCCTTCGTCTTACCATGTAGAATATTAATAGAGCTATTGCAACTATAGTGCCAAGTACAGCCGCAATGATAGCGCCTGACGATTCATCGTGTGAGCCCGTATTATCAGTAGATCCATTGGTTGTATTGGTTGTATTGGTTGTCGTATTCGGACTTCCTAAGCCCGAAATTAAGTTTTGGGCATCTGACTCACCAACCCATTGCATATTAGTTAGGTCAAAAAAGTACATAGAAGAGTCGGCCATGTTTCTACCTTGCCCGATACCGCCCCATACCATCATGACTGTGTTATTACCTAGACTAGTGGCAACGTGTCCTCCTCTTGGCGATGGAATAAAAGTATTGTTCTTTGCATTTACTTTCACCTGTTGCCACGTCAAAGTGGGTGCACCAGAAGCATTCAAGATGTACATGTCGTTGAATGCCGCTTTATTCCTAACGTCCATTCCGCCAAATACCAGTATTTCAGCTGTGCTATTACCGATAACCATGGTTGCGTCAGAACGCGGAGGAGGAGTCGTTCCAGAGATAATTGCTTGTACAAAGTCGTTTTTGTCGGTGTCGAATATAATACAGTCGCTTCTCAATGCATTTTTATTGTCTATGCCAAAGCACGAAATCAAAAGGTTGTTTACAGCGATTGTAGCATGACCAGAGATAGCCGCATTATCTGGGAATTTTGTTGCATCGAGCGTGTGCCAGGTGCTTGTAGTCAAGTCAAAGTAAGAAACGTCTTTGAGCACTCCTTTTGGAGTACTTCCTCCAATTATATAGGCTTTTTTATTTACAACAGTGACGGTATGGTCGAAACGTGAGGCCGGTATATTTCCCTTGTTGGGGAAATTAGACACTACACCGGTTGTTGGGTCTATTTGCTGGATGGGAGCAGCAAACACTTGAGGTGTCAGAGATTGTTGCCCATAGAATATTAGTATTTTCGAACCGACTGTAGCAGCTCCGTGTCCCTGCACGGCTAGCTTTGTATTCTCTTCGTCTACGTTCAAAGAATAATCGACATGTAATATGTTATCTGCTATTGGATTTTTTGTGGGGTCAGCAGCAGTCTGGCCGCCAATTAGATACAAATCTTGACCGATAGTGGTCGCGGTCAAGGAAAATCTCGCCGTGACGTTGAGTGCTGCTCGTCGATGCATTCCTATCGAACGAGAGGATTGATTGGTGATAACGACTGGTTGTTCCTTTGAGAGGTAGTCAGCAGCATCGTTTGAACCGTGATAGTAGTACTTGCTGACCATTTGATGATGGGGTTATAAGGGGATATAAGGAGGGAAGTATTTACCGTTGAAACGAATGTTGAAACATTAAATGTAGAAAACCACTAACGTATAGAGTGGGTTAAAAGTTGAGAAAAACGATTGTGGGGGGGGGGGAACAGAATTCATATTCGATTTTTTGCTGTGTTGTCGCACGGTACAAATTTGGGATGTAATATTGTGTTTGCTACCATATACGTATCATTCATAAAACTAGAATATAACATTGGTGTGCAAGTTTCACAAAATGTATAGTATAAATAAAAGACAATAATAAGCTTTTATAACTGGCTATTAATAGAATACATATAGTTCTCACCAGACCTACAAAATACACCAATAAAAAACATTACACGGAACACAACAAAAAGCCATTCTTTAAACTATATTAATATGTCAAGAACAACACCTAAAACCGTTTTGGAAGTACGAGACAAAAGTTGACTATACCTGTCTTTTGTCAAATCGTATACGCACAGGCTGATTTCGTGTGATGCAATTGATAAGGATCTATTGTCGCTAGGCAACGAGATTCTATGAATTACGGATGCGACAAGTAAGTGGATCGGCGAGTAAGGAGAATATAAAGAAAGAAATTATACAAGCTGGACAATTAAGTTGTTGCTTATTTGCATATTCCACCCCCCCCTACTTGGTGACAAAAAGTGGGTGCTGTTTCCAGTTGATCATGTCCAACTTTGACTATCAAGATTTGTTTGTGTCGTGAGAGTAGCTGTCGATCTACCTTTGTCAACGTCTTGAAACATGCACCACTCCTGAACAGCCAAGAGGTCTTGTTGACAGCATCCTTAAAGCGTATCTCCGATGAAGCTTTATAGATAGTCCTAACTACTACCCAATCTTTTGTTAGCATCCTTGATAAGCAATGCTAAAAAATCGGCATCATGATGGGTTCTGAACCTCGCCATCACCGGTTATGGTCATTTGTTCCCTCGGATATTAGGAAGCTGATGTCCCTTGAACTTTATTCTTTATTTGACATTACTGTTACGGCTCTTCGATTGATGATGTAATATGGCTATACCAGTGTCCACATCATGCGCCCATGTAGGAAACAACGTTTTTTCCAGGTATATTATGATCCATTCTGGGATCTCGGAACGGGTCAACCCGTTTCGAGATCGTCCCTTTTTTTTTTTTTCCCCGATGTCATCACATAAATTCTGTAGTTTATTGGTACAAAGTGACCGGATCGTCCCCATCCAGTAATATGTGACCAAACGTGTCACCGTCAAACGATGAAATGCTGTATTGCGGGAAGTTTGAAATAATATGTTAATTGTGTGACCCAGTTCCAAGAGAGCGGACGGCGGTCGGTGAGACTACTGTATAATTGATTCTAATCGATATCGATATTGATATTAACATTACACGATAGACTGCATATGTAACAGAGATGCAACAAATAAAATGAATCTAACAAACCTAATTGACGATAGCTGATGACGTGCATTTAGAGAGTGTATTGAGACGCATCTATGGAATATAATTACAAATTTACGTGACTATTAATAATGCAATAAGAAAGATCTTATTACGTTATACGGTCGAGCTTCCCATAAGTGTAACGAATCTGACGTATTAGTAAATGATAAAACAATGGCTCTATGATAGCACGTAATTGGGCTGTTCCGACTGTGTTTTTTCGACTGTGCATACCGTTTGTTGCATCACGCACCGATTTATGACTAACTTTAGGCTTGTTGCTAAGAATATGGGCAATCAATTCGACCAAGTTTGGTAATTTTTTATAATTAATGTCACTTGAGTGCATTTACGGAATTTATTTTTCATATAGCCAGGAATACGTATCTATTGCACGTGCGGAACATAGTGTGCGCATTTAGCATTATTATTATTGGGATATGAATTAAAAAGAAGGTGCATTTAGAGACTAGACCGTTATTCTTTGATTCCATTCACTGACCCAGCTACACTGCTACTCCAAGAGATTTCGTTGGAATGGTCACATCTAATGCGATAGTAATGGAGGTAGTCGGTAATTTCTTGCAAAATTCGACCCCATTAGGGAACTGTCTCGGTTCTGGACTGAGTCAACTGAGTGCTGAACTGGGACAATTCCCAGACTCTGACATAAAACTACGTATATCTCGACTTGCAATACAAATACCAGACATTTATCATTTTTTATGATACTCTAGAGCATTTAATCTTTTGGAACAAATACTGAGAAAATAAGCAACTCCCAGGCCGACATTTAACACACGAAAAAACAAAAACTTGGCTAAACTACTTTATCTGATGCGGAAAGTAAATGCCACATTTGTAAAGACAAATTCCACGCTTGGTTATTTTGCTAATGTAATACTTTTCTCATTCAATGTAGCACAAATACGAGTCTTTTCCTTTTCGGACCCTAAGCATTCTACTGACCATGTACTATGAGCGTGCAAGGCGTTTTGCTTTTCCAGCATAAATTTTATTCATATAATTTTACTTTTCAGAACAATGATTGCAAGCTGCATAGTCATATAATGGATGTTGTATCTTTTGGCCTGCAGGTTTTTTGTAACATGACAAACGTTACATATTTTTAAACTGTGTTTCAATGTTTAATAAACGGCATATTGGAAAAAAAAAAGGATGTCACAAAATTCGGGAAAATTTAAAAAAGGTAATAGTAGTGGAACAGAATAATAATCCAGATGCAACTGTAATCAATTTAATTAAATTGATAGAACCTGTTGTCAACAGGATATTTAAATAATGGGAAAGTTACTCTGCTTACCTCAAGCTTTAAATTAGTATTATTGAATACTTGATGCAATGTTGCGAATCGATATTTTCGTCACATGCTGTATAAAAAGAACTGTGTCACCTCATTTTAAAACTTACTTGTGGAGGTTTCATACGCGCATCCAAAATTTTTTATCCTATCGTTGCGTAACATGCCTGCACGGGTAGTGCTTTTGATAAGTCATTTATAATTACAGGAATTAAATTAAATTATCTCAATAAGTGAATCGATTAATTCTGGATAACCCACTATCTACACTTTACGCTCACAAGTCGAAAACGTCTTGTGGATACAATAGTCACTATTTTAACAAAGGCCTTCGAATGTCTCTAGACTTTGTCTCAACTTTCTTCAACTGTATCTTTAGCAAATTTACCGGAAATTTGTTTGTCGTCTTAGAGTTACATGCGTATGGTCAGTTTCCATAGACTGGCAAAATTTTTCGGGAAAAGCAAACTTTACAAGTCGGTTTTGGCTTGGTTCGGTAAAAAAATTTAAAATCTTGGTAAGTCGGCCGACATATGTAAAGCCGTAAGACGGCCCATGCCACGTCTAAATCACTCTTGCTAAGTCTGTCTCACGTGATATTAGTAACCATTAGTAGCGTAAATTTTATTTATATGACAAAGCTTGGCAATAAAGTTATCAATATGGTATTACATAACACAACGTCTCAACGACGTATCTATATGCAAACAATAAATATTTAATATTTATATTTTATCTTTCTGTTAATCTATATAGATATTTGTTTTATCATTTATTATTATTCTACAGTAATATAAATAAAGTTTTATTAAAAAGTCCGTAATCCCGGCAGCATTTGGGCGGTTACAGCTATTGAAACTGGATCAAACTTTTTGAATTTCGGTACGGGCCTAGAACATTCAAAGGAACGTGGCAAAACCATTTTTACACGCACTTTGCAGCAAATATTGTGGCACAGTTGCACCGAGAACTAACGGTTGACACTAAAAATACAGCGAGTGGGTGGCTGAGGACTACGTCATATTTGCCGATTGTTAGCAAGCGCAGCAGCGGCAAATGGGTCGAAACGTAACGGAATTTTATCGGCGAATTGGTTTTCTGAAACATCCATTTTATTTATCTAATCATGTGGGTTTCGACAAGTCGGTTCTCTCGATAAGTCGATTTTACCATCCGCGACTGACTCTTTGAGTATTCGTAAATGCTTAGATTACTTCGAACAGTACTTGTCAAATGTATACATTAGCTTCCCAGATCTCAATGTTTTTACGCCCTGCGTATATTACCTGGGCAGTATTTCTGTTTTTCCTTTTTTCGTTGTTTACTCTTTTTCTGTTATACTGTTTCACTATCAATCACTCTATCCAGTTGCAAACTGTTCCAGGCTTATTTATTTGTTTCTAGAACGTGAGAACCATTATCGTTTTTAATTTTTTTTCATTTTCTTAATTGTTAAAATTTGCCAGGTCGCCTTGGTTCACGACAAACTTTCAATTCGAAGCAAACGACTCCATCTATCTTTCTGCTGTCCTGCGTTACTTGCATCGCGTTTAAACTATAGTAATTTTTTCGGTTATAATACTGTTCTTAGTCGAATTTTGGGTGGAGTAACTGTTTATTAAATAGTAAGGATATAAAGAGTTTAGGCTGTTGAGTTAAACTTGTATAGATTACTTTTCGTCGGGTAGCTAAGCTATGTTTGCGTTTTTACCCAAGTTTTCAATATTTAACATAGTTAAACAATAACTAACTAGTAAAACTATCAATACCTTTTTTTATAAAAAAGCACTTTATTGATCGTGTGTGCGCGAATAAAATCATGATCATGCAATCTTTTCGTTGGCATACCATCGAATAAAAAGTTATTTCGAAAGTGGTAGTTAGTTCTGGTTTATCGACAATTCAGCCTCTAAAATGTATTATATGCTCAGGGCTTTTGGTTAAAAAACCAGTTCTTACAGGTGCACATTTAGTGATCTAAGCACCGATAAATTCACAGCGTAAAGTATTTCGGGAAGACATCCACTCGGCGAGAAAATTGCATTTACGTGTTCAACAATTGCCTGTGATTGAGGATGTTTCAGTCTTCTTTAAATAATTTTGTTTATACCCACACAGTTTATAAGTTTGCTAATAACAGACGATGTAATTCTGTTCCGTTGTATGGAGTAGGCGCCAAATACGATAAAAATGTCGCGAAAAATTTTTTTACTTTGATCGGAATGATCGGCATTCCAGGTACAGAACTTGTAATTTCATTTTTTATTTTATCGTTATTATTTTTTTTTCTTCATATATTCGTCAAATAGCTGTATGCGAAAATTAAAATTGTTTGACTTTTGTTGCAAAAATTCCACTGTGCAGCGGCACGAGTGACTCGCAAAATATTTAAAGGATGTCCATTCTAATTTCCTTTCTGTGATTTTTGTATATTGAGACTACATGTGACAGCACGAAGAGGTCACGGAATATATATATCTACTGATACATGCTCACGTTCTTTATTTTAGAACATACTAATACTCTTTGTTCTCTACTCAGTGACTAACTGATTTGTTGTTAGTGAAACATCTGCTATCAACTCGCAGATTTGACATACTCTCCCGGCGGTATGTGGAAAAACCTGACTAACGGAATGCACGGCCTTAACACGTCCTCCAACTCGGTAAACTCCTCGGCCGACCATTTCGGCACCTCGTCCTTTAGTCTGTTAACATGGCCTCTTCCCATCTCAGTAAATACTCCCATACGTCCACTTCCTCCAGTCTCAAACCGTCTCGTTGGGGCAAGACTACGGGAATCGACGAATCAAGAGTTCCGATTCAAACAGCAAGGATGGATCACCGCAGATGGTTTCCAGCAATAGGTCTGCAGCTTCTTTGCAAGATTCGTATTCGAAAGCAATTACCAAGACGCGGTAAAGGTTTTTTTGCAACCAAGAAGGTTCATTGGCGACTAAGTAATCTTCGATGTCTTCGACTAGCTCTGGGAGGCGCATCTAATTCGCCGCCGAAAGGGAGGCCGCACCGATTCTGAGTCGAGTGCATCTCAATCATTATGCCATTGTCATCGGGAGATTCGAGCGAATTTCGGTGGGGCAGGATCTGTGGATACAAGATAATTTTAATCTGCCATCTTCTCAGTGTTGGTATACACCCCTCTGCCAAAAGTATAAATACGGTACGAGATTTTACTAGTAAAACATATAAAAAATCGAAATTTTCAAATCGCTAAGTC